TCAACCCTGAGCTGGTGAGATTTGTACAGCAGAACTGCAGCACTGCAGTCAGCTGAAGTAGCCAGCAGTGCTGCATTTAACCACTGCGCCACCTCGCCGCTGTAATACTCCTTCCTTCTATTTCCCCACAATAATCACCCTGTGGGGTGGGCTGGACTGAAATAAGAGAGACTGGCCCAAAATCACCCAGCTGGCTTTCATGCCTAAATCAGGACTAGGCATGTCTCCCAGTTTAACCTTAAACACTACACCAAACTGGTCAAGAGGCAAAAGCCTGTTTTTAGGCAATTCTTGGTTATCATTCTTGTTTACGGTAGAGATAATATGTTACCATTTGAGATGATAAAGGATGATTGGAACTTGTTCAATGACAGGAGAATTTTCAACCTCTCCTCAGTCACATGGCTGGCTGAAAAAAATGAGAATATGGATAATATAATATATTCTTTTATTTAATTTGTGCTATTTTCTAAAAAAGCTGGCACTCACTTTTCATTTGTTAATTAATAATGTGAGGAATACAGTGGCGGTGTTTGGTGATCATATGAAGTTATTTAGAATATTTAGGACATAAGAGAGTCAGCAAAGAAAGCAAAAGGGGAGGGTGGGTATTAAAATAATACATATTTTTTATTAATTTAACAATGGTTCACTAATGAATATGGGAGTATGAAAAGCTTACTGCTTGTTTCATATTATTAAAACCTAGGGTTAAGGAAACAGCAGAGTTGGGTTCCTACCAGTTCGCACCACTTTGGTGGAACCAATAGTAGAAATGGTGACTGGGCTGCTGAACACGTAGGGATAGCATACTTGCCACGCCCCTGAACCAGTTCCCCAGTCACCGTGACATCTTTTTTTGACCATTTAAAATGTTCTGCGCATGCACAGACCTATTTAAAAGCAATTACACACATGTGAGTGAAGAGAGCGCGCAGGTGCAAAATTGTTCTTGCACCAAACCGGCAGTAATGCCGGTAGAAACCCACCCCTTGGTTTCTACCGGCAAAGGACAAATTCAAGCAGTCAAATGGTCAGACTTGCTTCTCAAGCTTATCATGATAATGAACAACTTTGATAGCTTTGTAACTCAGATGAATAGGAGATAAAACTTTACTAGTTCAACTCAAGAGTGATCCTTGTTACCTCCATTGCAGAGTGCACTTATAAACAGACTTTCAATTCAAGAACCAGCCCAAGACCTTCCAAAGTGACCACTTGCAGCTAACTAGTGATGGAGTACATAACACTTATTAACATTGATAAATTATTTTAAAAAGAGCCAAAAGCTAGCTAGCCAGCTGGGAGCATAATGATAGGAGCTCCATTCATTATTTCAGATCAGAAATATATTAATTTTTCTACAATAAAGTTGTGTTTTGTTGTAGGCTCATGTTGCAATGCAAGCAACTCAGTTTTATTTCTTACAGCCGTACAAGTGCTACTAGGATATAAAACGCAGAAGTGTGCAAACTTACAACCTTTTTTTCTCATTGGGGTTGTAAAACATTTTTTTTTTAATTTTGCTGTAAGATCAAGATTGTAGACTCAATTGTAAAGCATTAGGGGGAAGAGATAAATTTTAGTGCTTCCTAATGAAAGTACTTTACATGGCTTTCCAAAAGATGTCTCCTGAAGATCATTAAGACTATAACATAAATAGTTAGGCATACTATTTTTTCCAAGATTACAGATGATATGCCTTAGAATTCCAGAGGATGAGAAACATGAGCATACTCATGTTGGGGGGGGGGTTTCTAGAGGAATGAGAATGATGCTTTGGAATAATCCAGCAACACTGTTATGTTCCTTTGTTTATTTCCTGTTGTATATGTGCTATTTTCTTG